TTTTTTTTTCCCCCCCCCCCCCCCCCCCCCCACATTTTTTATGAATATACAGTTACTATAGATTTTATTCGACTGCATGATTGTTCTAGTAAAATTATTTCTAAAAAGCATATTAAAGGATTTTGCATATAATTTTTTAATATCTCAACTTCTCTTTGGATTGATTTTTATTCTTCTATTCTTTCAAAAATATTTACCATGTGATATACTTTTTCTTTTTTAAGCTTATTATTATCATATATCTAAATCCTCTTTCACCTCATTCTCACTCACATTTTTCTTTTTATCTTTCTCTTTAATTTTTATCATATCATTTATTATCATTTTTTACTTTTTTTTCTTTATATTTCTCTCTTCTTTTTATGTATGTCCCTAATAATGAAAAACTATGAAGTAGTAAAACACTATCAAGTGTCCATATTGTCCCAACTAATTTATAATTATTTCATATGTATTTAAATTTTGGTCAAAATACTTTTTTAATCTATATAATTTTATATATTTTACTTTTTAGTCCCTATAACTTAAAATAAACTTGTTTAATCCTATATTTATCTTTATTAATCATTTTTAGTTACTATAGTTTAATATATATATATATGTATTTAGTTCTTATATTTATCTTTTTAATCCATTTGGTTTCTATTGTTATTTTTTGTGTAACATTATCTCTTTTTGTTGATATGATAAAAGTCTTTAAATTTGTAAGGATAAAAAAGGGTGTCTCAACAATAAGTATTGTAGATAAAAGTAAAAAATAAAAAATAAAAAATAAAAAAAATATATATATATATATGAATCATTGATAGATCTAATTTAAGATAACTCAAATAAAATAAATTCGATATTAGACATATAAAATTGAATTAATATATTTATTACGTTAACAAAAAAGGAACAACTTTACAAAAAAAAATCAACATTACGGACTAAAAGATTAAAAAATTGCAAGTATCAAAATTAAAAATATTTATTTTAAATTATAAAAATTAAAAAAAAAAGATTAAAAATGATAAATATATGGACTAAAAAATAAAGTAAGTGAAATTATAAAATAAAAAAATATTTAACCTTAAATTTTTTTAACTTATAAGAAAAAATTAATATCACTTTTTTTTTAAGGAGAATAAACTTAACTGATATCATTCAAAATAAGAGGTGCAATACATGTTGTTGGAAACATTTAATATCACTTAATCACATATTAAATTGAGATAATCAGGAAATATCTTATTCAAAATTAGCTAATAGTTTTTAATTTTTTTTTTAATTTACCTCTTCTATCAATCTTCTGCTACATGAATTGTTTATCAATCTCTTTTGGAAGGTAAATACCATTTCACGGGTCAACATCCATAAAATCATTGAACTATATAATTTTTCATTTGTTTTTAAAATGAACATATAACAACTTTTTACTTGAAGCAAGTACCATTAAAGTCTGAACATACAATATGATATATGAAAGACTAAGGGCGAGAGGCCGAATTTCACGAACACCAAACAAATAAATCAATTACACCGGCGGCTATTGGAATACATGAGCAATTATAAACATATATACACCTCATTTTTTCATCTATAGATGATAAAAAAAATATATAATACAAGAAGACGGAGAAAAGTGAGAGAAAAGTGAAGCGGCTAAATGATTAATCAACCCTCTTGATCCATTTATGGTAAGATCCACTCCGAAACATACGATCCACTTGGTATTTTAAGATTAATTTTTGTTAATATTAAAATAATATTTAATCAATAAAAATTATATTTAAATGTATACTAATCTCTTATCATCAACTTTAAAATACTGCCAAATATATCTGTGACAAAACAAAATATGGAATAAAAGAGGAAGTAATGCTCCATTTCAATTATTTTGCATAGATGATTGGTCTGCATCGTAGTACGTTGGGGAAAAGTTGAGACATTGGCGGTCAAATCGAAAAGCTAGCTTCTTCTTCTTGGTTCCACATTGCATTGAATGTTTTGTGAAACCATCACCATTCACCACAAGCTAGAATTAATGAACACAAGCTGTCATTTCAGTGTTGCAACTTACAACATGCAACAAGCTTGAGACTTGAGTTGAGGCATGCATGCATGTACCGATGTACATGTGTCCATGAGGTTACCCTTTTCTTTTCGAACTCGGATGTGAACATAAGCATAAAGTTGGAGCACGAAAAGAAAATCTCCAGCTTTATGGAGTCCACATTCACTGTTCCCAAAGAGCATTACAATTTACTCCTGCCCAATAGATAAAGTTATTAAAGCATCAAAACTTTGTCTTCATCTTCTGATGGACGAGGTTTGTCCCATCCCTTTCACATTCACATTTGTCTTCTACTGAACTTGATATATTTTCAAGCATCGATTTGCGTAAATTCTTTATTCTTAGCTATTTTTTCAACAAGAAATCGTTCTTGTTTGGTAACCATAACAGTTGATTCAATCACCATTTCTTTAACTATGATAGTACATTTTTTTTTAAACAGAAAATAAAATATATTAATATTTGGGCACGGGTGTCACTCATATTTACAACATAGAGTTTTGGCTTATCAAAATAATATATTCTTCCAAATTCTTGATGAGTCCGTTTTAAACCCTAAATCTTAATCATAGTACATATTTTCTCTTAAGCCTTCTTGGTAACATTTTTCTTTTATTGATTATTTAGTATATATAATGTATTTTTATAAGAGAAATATTGAATGACACCAAAGCTGATAACCTGATGGATTTTATGTTTTTTTGTTTTTAATCTATGTCAACTTTTTGTGAGATGAAAATAATGTATATAAATAGTAATCAATTTTAATTATATTAATTTATTTATAGCATTGAATTAGACTTTTAATTTATTTTATTAAAATTTTTCAGGCGGACATGACATGAGAATACGGAGGAAGAGGATCTATGTGATCTCTCTCACGATGGAAAGAATAGTTGGATGGTTTTTGAAATGGAAAACAAAGTGGAGAAGGGTGTAAAGCCTTTTCTTCTAAAATGAGGTTTTGCATTGCTCTTACCTTTGCAGGGACCACGCCCTTCAGGTTTGTTTATTCAATATATTACCAATATTCTTTCTATTTTTGTGGGATGATGAATGTAAGTAATGTTTGTATGTATTATGTGTTTTCAGACATGGAAGCGAAGTTAATTTCGGAAGAGGTAAAAGGGTTGCATCTAGTTCTTATAGCACTATTTAGGAGGAAAATGTGTTGAGTTCTGTAAGTTACATTAGAAAAGGGTATCTTTCTGGTAGTTATTTCAATTTTCAGACTGTAAGGTTGAGACCTTGCAGTCTGAGAATCGGAGATTAGAGGCACAATGCAAGTGTCTGATCATAAAAAAACAAAAGTCAAGTTTTTGAAGAAAATCAGTATGAAACTGAACAGAACAGGGACATATTATGACACAAAAAGTTTCCAAGTTGCAAGATTATGAATTGAAAGCTGCTGCTGCTAGTGATCATGAGGTTCAAATAAAGCAAAAAAGGCTAAAGGATCTCGAGTGTGAGGAAATCTAATTTGAGACTTCAGATGGACTATTCTGACTAGCTCGAAGATTGGATTCTACTCAGATCCTTGCAAATGCTGTTCTAGAAAACCTAGAGGTAATGATACAATCCAATTCCACACTTTTTTAAAATCAATTTCTCATCTAAAATCTATGAAGTTCTAAAAATTATTCACTATTCCAGTATAGAAGACACCCTTGAAAAATCTAGCAGCCGTCTAAATTCAAAGTATTGAAAAGAGTAGCCTACTTCATTATAAGCCTAGAATCCAATTTAGGTACAACAAAACAAGTATTTTTAAAAACTAAAAGGCAGAGAAACAGTTATTGGTGCCATATGCAGAAGCTTTAAAAAAAATCTGATGAAACTCCCAAACATAAAACGCATAGAAAATCAGCAGTATATAGTTCATTTTAACTTTCTAGCCATATGAAAGGATTTTACCTCATTCCAACAGTGAATATTACAGATTAGCAGGTTATTGAATAATTCTGATGTACAACATTAGTCTTCAGGAGTTGCTCAAATTATGTTAAATCGGCCAAATGTTGCATGATATTTATTATTGTTATATGTTAATTTAATGTTAAGTTATTGACAATACTTTACTTCTTAAATTAAGTGTATAGGAAATAGAAAAAAAAATATAATGAAATCAGTGCAATTAAAGGATAAAACATAGCATTTGTGAAGGTTGAAGACATATATGATCATACTTCAAGAGAAACACATCTAAATATGGTTGTGTTATAGAGTACGATCATGCTTACCGTGCTTCCCTTAGAGTGTACACATCCTCACCACTGTTGAAACATGCTAATGCTATTGGTCATGCTTACCTATAAAAACACTCATGCTTCCTACATTTATGAAGCACAGCAGGTTATTAAGCACGGTTGTGTTTATTGTAATGCACAGTCGTGCTGAAAAGTTTGTCTTGACTTTTGATTATAAATTAGAATGTCTAGACCACATTATAATTATCTAGTTATCTAATTTTTAGTTTCATTTTTTCTTGTATTTTCTTTTCTCTCTTTTTCGTTATTAAGATTTTGTAAAAGGTTAAAAGTCAAATCTTCAAAGAAGAATTCTTCCTATGGTTAATTTTTTTTTTTTTGTTTAATAGATTCTAGCAACATGTGTGACTAGTTCTTCAATTCTAGAATTTTGATAAAATTGTTTATTATTAATTATTCCTTGTGAACCCCTAATGATTATTTACCATTAATTATCATATTATTTTACTATATTATTTATTATCTAAACTAATTAGAAGTTCATGATCATACTCTTTTAGTTAACAAAAATCTAAAATAATTAAATTTTAAAAATTGACATGATAAAATTATTTTTTTAATTTTTAATTAAATTAATTTATTAATTTCCTTTTCTGCACATGTTTTGTTTGTAAAATAAAACTCTTATAATCAATTTAAATTTTTTAAAAAAATAAAGATTGTTGATTTCCTAAAATTATAGGATTGTCAATAATTTTATAAGTAAAATTGACAACATAATCTTATAATTTATGAACTTTATCTTGGGAGATAAGAACAATAAATTACACTAGAACATTTACTTCTAAATTTTAATAACAAATTTTCTAGTATTTGATTCTTAATTTTTAAATCAATATTCTTTTTTATTAAATTCTATTTCTTTAAACTATCAAAATTTAAGAGCAAGTTAATAATTATTTAAATCTAGTCATTTGAATATCTAAATTTTGCCTATCATTAATGGTGAGACAAGGTATACTCTTGTATTCGATGCATTTTACACGCAACAAATTTCTATAAATTTCCATTCCATTTCTTAGATAAGGATGCATTTATGAACAGTAATCTAAATAAGAGGAAGATATGAGATTGAGTAGTATATGACCATTTTAACTTCCGGTGATTCACTCCTCTTGCTCATACTTGCTTCTTTACATTGGTAATTTCTTTAGATTAATTATATTGCAAAATGCAAACTACTGTTGAAAAATTTTGAGCTGTCAAAATTAATATTGTTAAGCTCCCTTCATCATGCTTCTTTGCAAGAGGAAGGGTAAATCAGGAATTAAGCTTATGTTGCTCTTTCATCATCACAGTACTACATGGACTTATTCAAAAAGTTCAGTCTGTTGATTGTTGAGTATTCAATCTGGTGAGATAGATGTTGAGATGAAAACTTAGTTTTTGCCCTCTTAACAATTTCATGCCATTTTTATTGTATATATTCGGATGAGTTATAAAATTCTAATACGACCCCTCAGGATGTAATTTAACAGCCTCTATTATATGTTTCCTTATATGCCAATTGTCCGATCGTTATTTGTGTTGCTTAAAATTCTCCAAGTATAAATACAAAAAATAGAACAATGCATTTATAGATAATAAACAAAACACTTTTGTATTATAACTATTAATAAATGCATAACCGACGAGTTTATCTCAACCATTCTTTATGTGATTAGAGCTATGCCTTGTAGAATTAATGAATCTGCTAGAACTTGGTTAGCAGCTTGCGAAGGATGCACACTGTCCCAAAACACACATTGGGTGGCGCGCATCGGAAAAAGTTCCTAGAGATTTTGGATTACAACAATAAGGGCATCTCCGATATAAGTAATTCATTTAAATTATTTTATATACATTAAAAAATAAAAAAAATATCTCTAATATACCATATTAATATTAAGTAACTCAAACAGAAATTTATTTCAATAATAAGAAATTTTAAGAAATTTAACTTTTAAATTTTTTTTAATTATTTATAAATTAAATTTAAATTTTTATTAAAAAGAATAATTACATTACAATAAAAAAAATAAATTATGAGAAAAAATATACAATAAGAATGGAGGGAAATATAAAAGATTTCTGACGATACTTTTAAAATCCATTATTTAATAACCGATTTTGTATACTACATACAAAATCGGTTCTGAAATAACCGATCTTAAAAGTGTCACTTTTAAGATCGGTTATTTTGTAACCGATCTTAAAAGTGTCACTTTTAAAATCGATTCTTTTGTAACCGATCTTAAAAGTGTCACTTTTAAGATCTGTTCTTTTGTAACCGATCTTAAAAGTACTTTTAAGATCGGTTAAATTTTAACTGATCTTAAAAGTGTTCATGTTATTTACAAAATTGTCTCTGCGTCACTTTTAAGATCGGTTAGCTTGTAACTGATCTTAAAATTCCGATTTTAAATCCAATTTTTGCACTAATGATCTAGAAAAAAAAAACTTGAGAAAATATTATGAAAATTTATATATAATTTACATTGATTTATGAACATGCACTTCTAGCAAATAATAGTTAGAAATCATTTTAATTCTTAAGACTGCTCTGGACTTAATCTAATCGGTGCTTCCATAATCAATAAAGTTGCTGCACCAAATGCAATTATGCAAGTGATAATTTCTCGTGTATACAAGTGTAGCACTACTAGAATTTTCTTTATTATTTGAGGATTTTCATGCAAATTTTTCTCAAAAATTCGCAGGAAACAAGTTATCTGCAAAATTTCCTGCAAATTAAAATTTGCATGTAAAACCTTCGTGGATAACTCGTTTCCCACGGATTTAAAAATTCGTAAGAAATTTCTTGCGAATAATTTTTGCATGAAAATAATAAATTTTTACAGGAAATTTTGGCAAGAAAAATTATATTTTAAATATTTCCTGCGGATTTTGCTGCAAAAAAATCCGCAGGTAAAGTTTCCTGAGAAAAAAATTGCAAGAAAATGTGTAGGTACTTTTCTACATACCTAAAATTTGCAGCAAATTTTCCTGCAAATTTTAAAACCGCAAGAAAAGTCGTAGAAAAGTTACCTTCCAATTTTCAAAATCGCAAGAAATTGTTACGGAACTAAAATTTGCAGGAAACTTTCCTGCAAATTTTCCTTCTGCAGGAAATTTTTGCAATATAAATAAAATATTTTTCGCAGGAATTGTGACCGCTTGATCCTCCATCTGAAATTTCCAGCTGCATCCTATATATTGGTCCATTCCTATTCGGCCTTCTTCGTGCATCATGGTCCATAAATTTTATTTTTAGCGATGATTTTTTATTTATCAATTTAACAACCATAATGTATAATCGTGCAAAGTGAGCATGACTAGAAACTTAATTAGTATAGTTGTGCATGTTATTTTATGAAGTTTTAGGTTTATCTTTTGTCTCAACATATTTTTAATACTGTTGGGAATGATAGAGCATAAGTTTTTGAGAAAAGGAAAATAGAAAACGAAAAGCAGGAACAACAAAAATGAAAAAAAAATGAACTTGAAGCAGAATCAGGAAATAATTTGAGTAATGTTTTACATAAAAAAAAAATGGAGGGAAATATAAAAGATTTCTGACGATACTTTTAAAATCCATTATTTAATAACCGATTTTGTATGCTACATACAAAATCGGTTCTGAAATAACCGATCTTAAAAGTGTCACTTTTAAGATCGGTTATTTTGTAACCGATCTTAAAAGTGTCACTTTTAAAATCGATTCTTTTGTAACCGATCTTAAAAGTACTTTTGATACCCAATATTGGACTCATTCTCCTTCTTGTAATTTTTCCTTTTTATTGTATTTCTTTGAACATTGTATTTAGGTCATTAGCTTAGGATTTAAGGAGGAGTTTTTAATTCAAAGGATTAGGCAACATTAGGTTAAATTTAACTTGCATTTAAGTTGAATTTGGAGTCACATTGTTTGCGCCACCTTGGCTGAACATGTGTGACTCAAATTCAACCCTAAATGCAACTTAAATCCAACCTAAATGTATACTTAGCACTAATGTGACCGGACCTTAACATGTGAGTTAAGTTTTGAATTCAAATTCAAATTTGAATTCAAAACTTGGCGCCACATGTGAGGCTTTCACATTGGCGCCAAGTGTGAGCCATTCCGGATTCATTATGATAACGCAAGTAGGAAAACCCTTTTGTAGTTTTGGTCATTCTAAAATGTTATACTTCTATTTTGACTTGAGTTTAAATTTAATTCCATGGTTATTCGTGTAATTATAGGTGAATAATGATAGGAATTATACCATTCTTATAATTTTCTTATTGCCATGCCCCATTAGCCTAAAGCCCAAAGATATCAAACCATATTGCAGTGGCCAAATATATTTTGGATCAGCGGTGTGATATGTTGGCATTATTACTCAAATATACATTAGATTATCTACTAAAGTTATAAATGTTGAATTAAGATTTCATATAAGCAACATAATGAATTGCATAGGAAAAAAATGATACATACGTGGGGTTTTATGTTCGGCACGTGGACTAATATGTAATGTGATGCTAACAATGGACATAATTAATTGGTCATGACATCCTTGATTATTGGTGGGGTGTGTAGTGAAGAATGTTAGCTGGAAAAGAAAAAGAGAATTGCAATGGCGGGTCCTTTCACTATTTGTGCACAAAGTTCTATACTTATATTTAGTTGTTTACGTTTATGCATTCTAGTTAAATTATTAAGTTATATTGAAATGAAATGATCTGAACTATAAAGCAAATAAAAGGCCTTTTTATAAGGGAATTCATTTTGTATATACAATGTATTTTATTAAGTTATGAGTTAACGAAATGTTTCCTTTTCACTTTAATTAACTGCTTTCCTTACAATTATATTTTATTCTATGAAAGTGCAAACCTTTAAAGTATTTGATTTAAAATGGTCTAATATTTTATTTGAATTGTCGGATAAGAATTTAAGATCCTTCCAAGAATTGAAATTTCAAGGTTGCATCACCACGTAAAAGTGTAGAGATTCTTAAATTACTTTGAAGTAAGTCAAATCTTATCTCTTCTTTTACTTTAATCTTAGTTTGATTTTTTTTCTTTTTAGGTTTGTGATATTCTTCTTACATCAATTAGCGCTCTATCACTATTTTATTTCATGTTTTTTAACTTGTCTCGTATCAAATTTAGCTTATTTATTAATATATATTTGTTATGGTTTGAGAGAATGTAATTTTAGATAAATTAAAAAGTTAGGAATATACTTTATGAATTTAATGTTATGGATTTGGAATGATTATTTGACAGTGTATAATGTTATGGTTTGATACAATTTTATTTCTTAAGATATTTATTAGTTTGATCTTGGAGATTGCACTTGAATTATGTAAGTATATATTAGGACCAAATTGCACTTCCTTTATCTCTAAATTGTACTGATACTATTTATTTTTCTTATTTCAGCCTAGTGATGTTGGAAGTGAACCTGAATCGCTGTTAGATGCTAGAGGATCATCTGGTGGTAGCAACTTGAATAGCCAGTCTAATATTTAGATCTAGTTTTTTATATTATGGACTACTTTAGGTTATCATGGTTTCTGAATTTATAAAGTGTTGTAAAAACTTAGTTTCTTTTGGTTATATATTGTTGTGCTCTACTTGTTGTCAACTTGGACTTCTGAATTAGCTTTTATTGTTGTTGATCTTTTGTAGTTATGTTACTTTCATTACTATCAATCCATTGTCCATTATTATTATGGTTGGAGTAAAAATTTGGCTTTAGATTGTGCACTCAATGTAGTCTTCTTGTCTTAGATATCAAATGTTCGATTACTACTATTTTTAGGTTGTTATTATCATTTTCATTTGGCATCTTGTTGCTTATATGGGTTCTTTGTAGCGATAGCTTGTACTCCCATTAATTCCTTTTTTTTCTTATAAAAAGTTAGTATTATCCAATGGAATTTTGATTATGTTATGGGTACCTCCTTATTTTTTTTAATACAGGTTAAATGTAATTTAGATTAAAAAAAATAATATGGCGAAGTTAAAAAAAAAAATCATTCAAATTGAAGAGGTTTTAAAATGCCGCAAAAACTTTGCAAATAGAGGAGGTCAAAAACCCCCTCTAAATAAAACGCCGCAAAATGAAAAAGGTAGCGGAGGTTGGTAAAAACTGCCTATAATGCTTGTGGCGAACGTAACTGCGGCGTTTTTTTAAAACGCCATTAATTATTTTAAGAGGGGCAAAAACTGCCGCAGTATGAAAAAAAAACCCCCGCAAAATGATGAATTTCTTGTAGTGATAGTTTCTTATTTGTTTATGAGATTGCAAAAAGAATATAATAATTAATTTTAATAATAATAGTAATTCAAAAATAAATACCTTAGAAAAATATCATTACTAGAATAAAATAACTTATACTTTAACAAATAACCACTGTATTTTTTTCTTCGACTTTGAACCCCTAAGTATATGATATCCTCCCAATAATAAAATAATATTATTATTATAGTTTAAAAGAAAATGTAATGATAATTAATAAATATAATTTTATTAAAATACATTTATAATAATTTAAGACGTGTAAAATCATCATATAAAAAAATGTGTAAAATCAAAGTACATATAAGGGAAGCTTGTTCATACAATACTTAATTTTAATCCACTACTTTGAATAATAGATAAATTGAAAATACAATGGATCGCCACACTTATTACTTTACGCCAATCATTCACCCACGAGGCACAATCACAAGTATGGATTATCTAGCTTGGAAAAGAAATATAATTACACTTTCCTACAATGTTTCAGGTGGAGATCATACATAAAGTGTTCCTACATGTTCATGATATATACTGTATGTGAACTTCAGAGAACGCATAGCATTTTAAAGTACACACAACAATATAGGTTCTCTTAATCCTTTTCAAAGATAGGCTATGTACAGTTTGAGAAAAAAAAGGCCAAGTTTCATTTTCTTTTAAGCAAGTATATTAGTTATATATATATATATATATATATATATGAGGAGGGTTCAAACGATATCGGTATAACTTTTACTAAGTGTTACACTATTCAATAACTTGATATTAATTTTGAATTTTGAAAATCATCTTGGATTAATATAAATTTTTGTATATATGATCTAAGAAATATGAACTTTCAATCTAACGATTGGATTTTCAAAATTCAAATTTAATATCAAGTTATTGAGTGGTGTAACACTTAGTAAAAATTACACCGGTATCATTTGAACCCTCCTATATATATATATATGATTCATTCTCAGCTTAAATTTGCAAAATCTGGCACTATATATGGATCACATTTATAAAATTGTGGAATTTTCACTTGTTGTTTAGAATCTATTAGATAATATTATACCACAACAAAAAAGTGTTTTTAAGCCAAATCACACAGAATAAAGTGCAATTTACCCAAACATAATACAAAATAGAACATAAATAAATTAATGAAAGTTAAAATTACAAAAGAAAAGGAAGGTAGAACCTGTACTTTTGAAGAATCCTAGGATATTTGACTCATGACCATGAGCAAGTCTATCAAACACTTTCATTCCTCAACTAAAGACTTCTCCTCCATCCACTAGTGGAAAAAAGATTTTTAAAATCGGTTATTTTTAATTTTTAAAATCGGATTTGTAACCAATTTTGAAAGAGTCGATTTTAAAAGTTAGACTTTTAAAATCGGTTAAACAACCGATTTTAAAAGTTAACTTTTAAGATCGATTATTCTATAACCGATCTTAAAAGTCTGGCCGTGGAAAAAAACTAAACCGGAACGGGCCGTTTCAGTCTTTTTAAAAGGGCTCAAAAGTTAATTTTTAGTACGGGACCTGAACGATCCGTTCTCCAGGGAGTACGACCTGTACTCCTTGCAGAACGGCCCGTACTCCTTGCAAAATGGCCTGTTCTCCTTGGAGAACGGCCCGTATTCCTTGCAGAATAGGCTGTTCCAGGTTCAAAATTTCCCCAAACTGAACCTACAACAAAAATAGAGACGAGAAAAACATGAGAAAACAAAAAGAGACACAAGAAGAACATGAGAAGACGAAAATGAAAACAAAAACGACAATGAAATTTACCTTATTAGAGACTTTAGAAAATGAAAGCGTCATAGATTAAAAAAATGAGTGGAGGAAAAAATTAAAGAGAATGAGAATGGAGGGAAATATAAAAGATTTCTGACGATACTTTTAAAATCCATTATTTAATAACCGATTTTGTATACTACATACAAAATCGGTTCTGAAATAACCGATCTTAAAAGTGTCACTTTTAAGATCGGTTATTTTGTAACCGATCTTAAAAGTGTCACTTTTAAAATCGATTCTTTTGTAACCGATCTTAAAAGTGTCACTTTTAAGATCTGTTCTTTTGTAACCGATCTTAAAAGTACTTTTAAGATCGGTTAAATTTTAACTGATCTTAAAAGTGTTCATGTTATTTACAAAATTGTCTCTGCGTCACTTTTAAGATCGGTTAGCTTGTAACTGATCTTAAAATTCCGATTTTAAATCCAATTTTTGCACTAATGATCTAGAAAAAAAAAACTTGAGAAAATATTATGAAAATTTATATATAATTTACATTGATTTATGAACATGCACTTCTAGCAAATAATAGTTAGAAATCATTTTAATTCTTAAGACTGCTCTGGACTTAATCTAATCGGTGCTTCCATAATCAATAAAGTTGCTGCACCAAATGCAATTATGCAAGTGATAATTTCTCGTGTATACAAGTGTAGCACTACTAGAATTTTCTTTATTATTTGAGGATTTTCATGCAAATTTTTCTCAAAAATTCGCAGGAAACAAGTTATCTGCAAAATTTCCTGCAAATTAAAATTTGCATGTAAAACCTTCGTGGATAACTCGTTTCCCACGGATTTAAAAATTCGTAAGAAATTTCTTGCGAATAATTTTTGCATGAAAATAATAAATTTTTACAGGAAATTTTGGCAAGAAAAATTATATTTTAAATATTTCCTGCGGATTTTGCTGCAAAAAAATCCGCAGGTAAAGTTTCCTGAGAAAAAAATTGCAAGAAAATGTGTAGGTACTTTTCTACATACCTAAAATTTGCAGCAAATTTTCCTGCAAATTTTAAAACCGCAAGAAAAGTCGTAGTAAAATCCATTATTTAATAACCGATTTTGTATACTACATACAAAATCGGTTCTGAAATAACCGATCTTAAAAGTGTCACTTTTAAGATCGGTTATTTTGTAACCGATCTTAAAAGTGTCACTTTTAAAATCGATTCTTTTGTAACCGATCTTAAAAGTGTCACTTTTAAGATCTGTTCTTTTGTCAGCTTCCTCCTTCCCATTTTGTATTCACTTTGATGCATATTGAAATTTGAGAGCCATTGAGCCGAGTTTCCCTATCAAAGTCTTCTAGCTTCTCACCTCAAAAACCTTAGGAGAGTTCCATTCTTTCCTTCTCTTTGAAGTGAGTAGTCCATTGATTCTTAAGCTTGGATACTTCCCTCCATAGCTTAGGAAACCTATTTTCGAGAATCTCCTTTCTTCAATTGTTCATATCTGCGGATTCAAGTCTCCTTTGAAGAGGTCCTAGCATTGGTTTGTCTCTGCGTCACTTTTAAGATCGGTTAGCTTGTAACTGATCTTAAAATTCCGATTTTAAATCCAATTTTTGCACTAATGATCTAGAAAAAAAAAACTTGAGAAAATATTATGAAAATTTATATATAATTTACATTGATTTATGAACATGCACTTCTAGCAAATAATAGTTAGAAAATATATATATATATATATAATACACATATTATTATTTGCCAAGTATAAAAGTTAAAACATGACCGGTGTTTGAACCTTTTCAACTAAACAGACTTCTAGAGAAATCATGACATGATTTATTTATTAAATTGGCTTAGCCTAGCTTGGGCTTAACTAGGTAATGCCATAAACATCCACCAAGTAATTTTATCTATTTTCACTTCTAGGATCTGTTTGAGTAATTTTTTCAGAAACACAAGATAGAAAATAGAAAGGAAATAACTTCTTCTATAAGCTAGAATTAGGTTTGTTGACTACTCTTTTCCCACCTAAACGTGACGATGGAAATAGTATTATCAATACCTAGTGAAATGTGTAGCATCATAAAACCAAGTTGACATTCAGATATTTTTTCAACAGGCAACACATTGATACAACTCAAGTTTTTGAGAAGACAGAGTCATGCTCAGATACAAAGCATATTGACCTCACAGAAGAGAATGTGGATAAAGCATGCCTGAGTGTTTTTAGAGCTATCCCAGTACCTGCAGAGAATGTAGTCCACATGGCAACAGATCAGGTGAACATTCAGGCAGTTGGAGACAATGAATGGAGTGATATTCAGGCAACAGAGGCAAAGATAGCTAATGTAAGGGAAGTAGCACTTGAAACTGATGGAAACAACTTGGATATTCCTATGGTTAGCCAGCCAGGTACATATATATAGCAACTATTGAACCTAAATATAGCAGTCAATTCATCATATAGCGTATGCATGATAGTAAAATGTCAGCAATTCAAAGATTTATTTAAAATAAATGATATACCATATCCATGATAGTAAAATCAATTTCTATCTACAATTAACCATAACTTGTACCTACAATTAATCATGCCTTGCATAAAAATAAATGAAAAAATGATATAGCGTATGCATGATATACCATGAACTAGAGTCAACTTGTATCTACAATCCACCATAACTTGTACCTATAATCAACAATTCCCTGCATAAAAGTAAATCCTCTTTCATTTAAAAAAATGAAGATATTAAAGCAAAATCCTCTTTCAAAGAATGAAAAGGTATCAAATATCACCTTTAATATGATTACTATATTCATCACCATTGTCTTCATCATCTTCGTCATCACTTTCATTGTTATGTTGAGTTGACAATGGTGAATGTGAACAAGAACCAACAAATCCTAAGTGTTGCATTAGGGCTGCTAATTGTTTCCTAGTCTCGGTCAATTCCCTTCTCATTTCTAGTTTATCTTCTTGTTGTTTATACAATTCTTGCCTCATTTCTAATTTTTCTTGTTCTTGTCTCTGCAGTGATTCATTTAGTGCTTGAATTTGACTTCTTAAAGCACCATCATCCTCAAAATTACTAGAAAATCTTGATGATGTAATTAATGTTCTTCCTACGGACCCAAGGCCAGGAATCCTCCCCTTTTTTTTTCCAACCACATCTACCCAAATGTCTAAGTCAGATGGCATATGATCCATAGATGATTGACTATCTGCTCCATCGTCTCTTGAATTTTGAGATGATATCTCAATTTTTCTTTGCTGAAACTTGTCCTACATACAAACAGTTTTTTAACCATCAATAACAATAGATAAAAATGATAAAATAGATAAAATGATAGTAATGGAAGGATAATTAATAAATCACTATTTGAGAGTGAATTTATCTCTTAGAATATACAACAAAGAATTTAATTTGCAAATGAGATAAAAATTAGTGATTGAAAACTTACATAAGCAAATTCTGCATGAGGACCCACCCAACTATGATCCTTTTTCTGATGTGTACGAAAATAAAATTCACTCAATGATGGATCTATTCCTAACTTTGCCTCCTTCTGTAATTGACAAAAAAAAACTTAAGGAATTATTTAAAAAATTATTTTGGTATATAAATTATTTAAAAAATATCAATAAATTAATAATACCATTCTCTTCCAATGCACTCTATGAGGAATTGATCCACCGGTGTGAAGAGATGAACCATCTATAGATTCACGATTTCTTTTATTTATTTCATACCTGTTCTTGAAACTTAAGGACTCCCAATGTGCCTTTAATTGTGAACATTTACTTCATCTGGGTTAAAAATGACTCATTTTTACATTGCTTACACGGACACCTTATTTTACCTTCACTTGAATAATTTGGTGTTTGACAAGCAAAAGTCATAAACTCCGCGAGACCATTTAAAAACTCAATTGTATATCCCCTTCGACCAGGAAGAAGCCTATTATACATCCATGCTCGATGTGTTGACATTTCTATGTTCAAATTGACTCCAAAATGACTAGGAGACAAGAATCAAACAATAAATTCTCAATCTCAAAAGGTTATAATAATGAAAAACAACAAAATTAAAAGCATACCTCTAACATAAAGTAAAATATATTTTAAAATATATTATTGAATATTTATATCTAATAATAACAATTAAAAGAAAATAAAATACAACAAGAGTAAATAAATTAGAAGCAGGACTATAATTTGGAAGTTAAGGAGGGAAACATACCTCTAATAGATAATTAAAAGCATCTAAACATCCAAACTATCATAAGGCACTTCATGGTACTGCATTATAAACTTAGATAATTAGAACTTTATCTTTGAGTACTACATAAACAAAATAAAAGTGGCCTAATAAAAAGGTTAATGACATAAGAAATAGAAAAAAAGTAAACACTCCTTTTAATTACTCAATTTAAAAGATGTTATTATATTAATTTTTAAAATTTACAAGATCCACTACACGAAGGGCAGTGTTTTAACAAGAACATTTATTGCCATATCTTTTTTAAAAAAATTACTTATATCTAGAAGTATAAAGAAAAGAAAAATGAATTAATATAATTTAGCAACTTAAAATGAATAAGTATTCGATATTTTTGTTATTAAAATTGTGAATAAAATGATTAAATAAACTTTATCTTACGTAAATTGAAGAAAATTACGTAGATATGTGATTTATAGCAGTAGTTTGCTGTCACCACTGCCTAGTTTTCTTTCCTATCCATTTAACATTTATTTTATAATGAAAATGAGCTCTCTTCATCTTACAGTGTCCCACTGAAATAAAAATAATTAATGTATTTTTTAAATTAATGATATAAGTGAGATATATAGTTACAAGGAATTATGAGTTTGGTCATAAATCATTCATCCAGTAGGTAAGGAATACAAGGAATTAATCATAATTTATTTTGACAAATTCTAGCTTCTACTACTCAATACCCGGTTCCCTCTTTTAGGCTTTCCAGAAATACATTCAATTAAAATACAACAGAAAAAAAATCATGTAATAGCAAACAGCTCAACTCACAAGACAATCCTAAACTTCTTGCACCAAGGCCAGGATCCAGAAAAACCACCTATTATAACCATTATATATTTAACTTTTCTACTAAAAAGAAAATGAGGAACTATTCTGCAATGGCTCACAATAATAGACAGATATATAATCTAAAGATAAATTACTAAAATTCTCATACAGAATAAAAGTAAAAACATGTTTTGATATTTAATATAGAATTATCGAGAAGGTTTTATTTAGACTGAAGAGTGAAGACAGCCAGAAGGTTACACATACATGATCAGGAGCCATAATTAAGATTTGGAGATCAAGTATACTGAAAACTTACAGGCGTATGACAAATTTTGATTTTCCTTCAACATCGTGTACCAATGGAGTCCTGCAGTTATACAGATGCTTTGAGTCACATTGTAGTGAAACAAAAAAAAAATCTATATTATACTTATACCAATAGCAAAACCATATGAATTATTGACAATATATCATACCTTGTGAATTTTTCATATGAAAACCATATGAATTTTTGTTTCATTTATTAAGAGTGTCAGCTACATGCCATTATTTGTCTTTAACCTTGGTTCCCAAGGGAACTAGTGTGATGAGTTTCCATGCGGATTGCACATGCACCAATCAATTTGGACATTTCTATTATTGTGTTCGATCTGAGATTACAAGCTGTAGTATAACCATTAATTTGGCAGCAATTAAACCTATTTTAATGCAATACTTAAGCTTCTGCTTTGTCAGCATCCCACTTATGTTATCTATGAATTATACTAATGACTTGACAAAATACTCCCCTTATACAACTAACTACGCTACTTTAAGTATGTGGTTCCACCTGTGATCCATGTCAGCCAATTTGGGTTCTTCTAGGACGCGTTGAATAATTATGCAGCCTAGGAGCTATTACAACTAAAGAACATGTAATCATGAACATACAACCACACTAGCTAGTTGGACCGAAGAACAAGAGAAACATGCATGCTCAAGGCAACTTTGTGTTTAGTAATAGCAACTAGTAACGAGTATGGAATATGAATTTGCTTGTTGCCACTTGAAAATTCGTGGTTTCTAAGTTGCATTTATTTTAATGACGTATATATGAGTTATCTTGTAAAACTTGTTACTTCTTCATAATTTACCGAAATTCAAAGTACTGCTATCACACTAACAAAAAACAATCATGATTCAAGAAAATTAAACATGGTGCTTTAGCATTACTGACCATTTGTACGCCTTTTCACATGACATATCAACTTATTGGCACTAGTTAGAATACTTTTCTTAAATGATTTACGTTATTTAGGCCTATCACGCTAACAAGCCTAGTGATGTTGGAAGTGAACCTGAATCGCTGTTAGATGCTAGAGGATCATCTGGTGGTAGCAACTTGAATAGCCAGTCTAATATTTAGATCTAGTTTTTTATATTATGGACTACTTTAGGTTATCATGGTTTCTGAATTTATAAAGTGTTGTAAAAACTTAGTTTCTTTTGGTTATATATTGTTGTGCTCTACTTGTTGTCAACTTGGACTTCTGAATTAGCTTTTATTGTTGTTGATCTTTTGTAGTTATGTTACTTTCATTACTATCAATCCATTGTCCATTATTATTATGGTTGGAGTAAAAATTTGGCTTTAGATTGTGCACTCAATGTAGTCTTCTTGTCTTAGATATCAAATGTTCGATTACTACTATTTTTAGGTTGTTATTATCATTTTCATTTGGCATCTTGTTGCTTATATGGGTTCTTTGTAGCGATAGCTTGTACTCCCATTAATTCCTTTTTTTTCTTATAAAAAGTTAGTATTATCCAATGGAATTTTGATTATGTTATGGGTACCTCCTTATTTTTTTTAATACAGGTTAAATGTAATTTAGATTAAAAAAAATAATATGGCGAAGTTAAAAAAAAAAATCATTCAAATTGAAGAGGTTTTAAAATGCCGCAAAAACTTTGCAAATAGAGGAGGTCAAAAACCCCCTCTAAATAAAACGCCGCAAAATGAAAAAGGTAGCGGAGGTTGGTAAAAACTGCCTATAATGCTTGTGGCGAACGTAACTGCGGCGTTTTTTTAAAACGCCATTAATTATTTTAAGAGGGGCAAAAACTGCCGCAGTATGAAAAAAAAACCCCCGCAAAATGATGAATTTCTTGTAGTGATAGTTTCTTATTTGTTTATGAGATTGCAAAAAGAATATAATAATTAATTTTAATAATAATAGTAATTCAAAAATAAATACCTTAGAAAAATATCATTACTAGAATAAAATAACTTATACTTTAACAAATAACCACTGTATTTTTTTCTTCGACTTTGAACCCCTAAGTATATGATATCCTCCCAATAATAAAATAATATTATTATTATAGTTTAAAAGAAAATGTAATGATAATTAATAAATATAATTTTATTAAAATACATTTATAATAATTTAAGACGTGTAAAATCATCATATAAAAAAATGTGTAAAATCAAAGTACATATAAGGGAAGCTTGTTCATACAATACTTAATTTTAATCCACTACTTTGAATAATAGATAAATTGAAAATACAATGGATCGCCACACTTATTACTTTACGCCAATCATTCACCCACGAGGCACAATCACAAGTATGGATTATCTAGCTTGGAAAAGAAATATAATTACACTTTCCTACAATGTTTCAGGTGGAGATCATACATAAAGTGTTCCTACATGTTCATGATATATACTGTATGTGAACTTCAGAGAACGCATAGCATTTTAAAGTACACACAACAATATAGGTTCTCTTAATCCTTTTCAAAGATAGGCTATGTACAGTTTGAGAAAAAAAAGGCCAAGTTTCATTTTCTTTTAAGCAAGTATATTAGTTATATATATATATATATATATATATATGAGGAGGGTTCAAACGATATCGGTATAACTTTTACTAAGTGTTACACTATTCAATAACTTGATATTAATTTTGAATTTTGAAAATCATCTTGGATTAATATAAATTTTTGTATATATGATCTAAGAAATATGAACTTTCAATCTAACGATTGGATTTTCAAAATTCAAATTTAATATCAAGTTATTGAGTGGTGTAACACTTAGTAAAAATTACACCGGTATCATTTGAACCCTCCTATATATATATATATGATTCATTCTCAGCTTAAATTTGCAAAATCTGGCACTATATATGGATCACATTTATAAAATTGTGGAATTTTCACTTGTTGTTTAGAATCTATTAGATAATATTATACCACAACAAAAAAGTGTTTTTAAGCCAAATCACACAGAATAAAGTGCAATTTACCCAAACATAATACAAAATAGAACATAAATAAATTAATGAAAGTTAAAATTACAAAAGAAAAGGAAGGTAGAACCTGTACTTTTGAAGAATCCTAGGATATTTGACTCATGACCATGAGCAAGTCTATCAAACACTTTCATTCCTCAACTAAAGACTTCTCCTCCATCCACTAGTGGAAAAAAGATTTTTAAAATCGGTTATTTTTAATTTTTAAAATCGGATTTGTAACCAATTTTGAAAGAGTCGATTTTAAAAGTTAGACTTTTAAAATCGGTTAAACAACCGATTTTAAAAGTTAACTTTTAAGATCGATTATTCTATAACCGATCTTAAAAGTCTGGCCGTGGAAAAAAACTAAACCGGAACGGGCCGTTTCAGTCTTTTTAAAAGGGCTCAAAAGTTAATTTTTAGTACGGGACCTGAACGATCCGTTCTCCAGGGAGTACGACCTGTA